TACTAAATATACATCACCATTATCCAACCGACAGGTAAGATTTACGGGGTTGTTTACGGTATTAGAACGGTAGATCGTTACGCCACTCGACGAAACGGTCTGTTGGTGAAAGCAAGTGGCCAGTTGGGTCAATCATAGACCCGTCAGGCGGTCTGACTTGGTTTGAAATGGGATAGCATGGGATGAAAGGAAGCGAGGTAGCTTTGGCAGCTTGGTTGGAGTGTGATGGATGAAGTGGTTTAAGTTTTAAAACTTAAAGGCGCCCCCGTCCGAGAGAACCAAATCAAAACATCAAAGACATAACTGGGTATCGCATTAAACTGTTTGAACGATGTGAGTAAAGCTATTCAACTCAAAAGGACTCCAGCGTATCACCATCCGGGAACTGTAAGCCGTATAACTCATCAGGCGTAACTCATGACTAAAACAAAGGAAAGCGTTCGGTAGGTTAGACGGTCTCGATGTACCTCTTCATCTCCCTGTTCAAATTGTTAGCATCTTGTCTTCATAGGTTCCTACATGGGGGCACTAGTTGGAAAGTTGGGGCAGTAACTTACCAGTCCGTGACGGCCTCGTCCCAGAGCCGGATCTCATGCTCTCTTGTCCCTCCATAATGGTCCACAAACTCGTCTCCAAACACTTCCCTCGCAATACTGTTCTTACTCATAAACCGGTCCGTAGCCTCCTTCAGACTCTTGGCTAGCCTAGCACCCGCATCCGTCACTCCACCAACCTGCTCTCCTTTGCCTAGCGGTGGACAAGGAATCTCAAGCTTTTTCTCCACACCGCGCCAGCCCAATGCGAGCACGGCGGACAAAACATAGAACGGGTTGGCATCGGCACCGGGAACGCGGATTTCGAAGCGGGTCGCACCAGCCTTGGAGCCCGGAGGACCGATAAGCCTGATAGAAGCGGCACGGTGCTCCAGACCCCAGGAGACGGTCACAGGTGCCCAGAAGTTTTCAACAAGTCTCTTGTAGCTGTTGATGGTTGGTGCAACCATAGGCATGACATCTGGCAGACCCTCAAGGATTCCGGCAAGGAAGTGTCTGCCCAGGTCCGAAAGATAAGCCACATCGGGATATGGGGCGTCGGGGTCGACTTCCTCACGAGCCAAGAGGTTCTTGCCATCTTTGTCAACGAGGGAGATGTGCATATGTCCGCTGTTTCCGGGGAGACCTTGCTTGGGCTTGGCCATGAAACAAGGAGTGATCCCGTACTTTGTGGCCACAGACTTTACGACATATCTGTGACATACATGTCAGCCAAACGCATGTACATGGGATGTGAAAAGGGGGAGCATGCATACTTGAACAAGCTGGCACGGTCGGCCATGTGCTTGACTTCTCCAAACTCGAGGGCAGCCTCAAATACACCCGGTCCACTCTCGGTATGCCAGCCCTCGATGTTGCACTGGAATTGTTCGCATGTATTGAATATATCGTAGTAGTAATCCTTATTGTGGACAGGTCGCGTCAAGCTGTAGCCAAACATGCCCTCGGTCAGGGATGGTAGTGAATGGGGAGGGTTCTCCTTCAGGTACGACGCTGTTGAATCGGAAGCGTTCTCTGACGGCGCTCGGAATTGAAAGAATTCGTACTCGGCTGTTGATGTGGCTTTAGTTGGTCTCGTTTCTGCAACACCTTGTTGTCCAAATGTACCTACCTCCAGCCATGGCTCCATACCCCTTCTCGCTCAACTTTGCCAACTGCTTCCTTAGAAGACCGCGCGGGCAAGCCGACACAGGTTCCATGGTGTCGGGGTCATGGAAGCTTATTAAGAAGAACGGCACATTGTTCTCCCACGGAATGCGCCGGAAGCTGTTCAGATCTGGAATAGCAATGATGTCCCTGTATCCGTTCTCCTTGTTGCTGACCTTCAGCTCTTTCACGTACGTCTGATCGTGCATATCCCACCCGAAGATGACAGAGCAGAAGCCGAAACCTGATTCGGCAATGGAGAGAAATTTCTTCTTGGATACAAGCTTGCCGCGCAGTTGGCCGTCAACATCGATACCAGCGAGCTTGACCGAGTTGTCATTGGCGAGCAGGTCGGGGAGCTGTGCCGCCGTTATTTCTTTCGGGGCGTTACCGTTCGTGGCCATTTTGGAGTTCGGAGACCTTCTATTTTAAAAGGGCGTAGGTATGGAGACGCGTAAGGAGACGTTCGAGATGAGGGTCGAATACCGGCGGAGGAAGACAGCAATGCGCTTTACCATAGAGGTTGGACAACCTCGCCAATGTAAGAAGATGGGATACCGTAATTTGCCTTTAGGTTGTCCTAAGTTTAGACGGAAGAAAGGGTTCGGCGCGCAAGATGGTTTCTGTTGAACCAGACGAAACCGGCGGATGGGACGATGACGATCACCTCGAGGGGCCCTGCAGTGGTTCCTGAGTCGAAACCCGGGCAGTTGCACAGTGCGCGCTAGAGATAAGCTTATCGCGCAGGAATGAACTCCTTAGGACTGAGTACTAAGTACAGTACGAAGCATGTACGAGGAGACCCTACGTCACCGCCTCAACTTCTGAGCTTACTGTACTACTACATGAACGGGCATACTTGGGTAGGTAGTCACGGCTGTATCTTGGCTTTCGTGGCTCAAGTAATTCGGACATAACGAGAGCCATCATGATGGACCTTTCGAATGTCTTGCAAGCAACGAAGATATTTCATCATGCGATTCTCGATCTTATCGAAAAGGTTTGTATAGAAACGTATCTTTTATCCTCCATCTTTCAACGATCTTCCCATAGTTACTGGGTACAGCCGGCACTCAATGATAAGCTCACCATGTCACAGCAGCAGCCACCCCCCAAGATAGACTCCGTCGGCAGCGAATACCACCAACCCCGCTTTGGGCAGCTGATCAACCCCGCTGGTGTCTTGTAACTGACCGACTTGGTCATCCAGCGAGGTGAGCCAGGATATGTCGCGGTTCTGGTGTCAAAAAGGGCATATGCAGTCACATCAAACTGCGACTCTTGAAGGAAGTTTAATAGATCAATCGCTCGACATGCCATCAAAACCGAAACAGCTTTGAAAACTGAACCATAACGGCAGGACGAAATGTCCACGATACCATCCACTTGAGTCCACATTATCTCCACGAAGCTAATGGCGGCGGGGTTCCCCACACATATCAGGGACCCCATCACCCCTCATCCTTTTGGGTAGGCCATCCCTACCTTACCTTGCTGGCCTACTGGCGGTGGTTGAGGTTGACAAACAGAAACACCATCATGTAGTGCGAACCTCTAGGGTAACCCATCCAGTCATCAAAAACTCACCAGTGAACTTACGATGCTTATCAAGCGTCACACATCAGCTGGCAGCCGCCATGGCTCAAACGAAAGGACACACTGCGAATTCGTGGTTCCGGTGGAGCAAGAATGTAACACGATGTACATCTCTCTCCCCGCCCTGTGTGTTACAATCTTGCCGTTATCGGATCCATGTTTGGATCAGCAACAACCGCCTCCTCCAGTCCCGTCTGATAGCTTGATGTGTTTGTGGCTCTCATCGGATCTATCTGAAAGCGAGACATATCAAAGGTAGAGGTAGCCACTCGAGGCAAAATTTCCGTGAAGCTCTCTAGTAGTTTGTGAAATTCTTGTCCATTGCTCTTTCTCTAGGCCCCTAGAACGTCATTGTTCTCCGCTACTAAGATCTCAGCTACGTTGTCTGTGGACCTTATCAACCGCCCCGCTGCTCGTCCTCGCTCAAGAAACTGACATCGCGAAAGCTTGTTCACCTACGCAAGACGAACCTCATAACCATTCTTAACTTTGATCTTCTAACAAACTCATACATCATGCCTGGACGTCTTGCGGGCAAGAATGCCATCATCACCGGCGCTGCTGGGTAAGTCAAGCCTAGACACCAAAAACACATCCCAAAATGGACAAATTAGCTAATTCCACATCTTCCCACGTCCGATAGAGGCATCGGCCTAGAAACCAGCATCCTCTTCGCCAAAGAGGGCGCCAACGTCCTCATGGCCGACATCTCCGCCGAAGCCATCCAGCGCGCCGAAGCCAAAGTCAAGCAGCTGGTGCCGAACGCATCGCGCGTTGAATCCATCGTACGTCATATCCATTTCTGCCCCAAGAATAACCCGCCCTCTTATCCAAGGCCCAGGTAGAACCAGCCAGCTAACCGTTCGGCTCCCGATCTAGGTATGCGACGTCTCCAAAGAAGACCAAGTAGAAAAGATGGTCTCGCACCTCGACCCCTGGGGCGGCCTCGACATCATCTTCAACAACGCCGGCATCATGCACAGCCAGGACGACGACGCCGTCGCCACCCCCGAGTCCATCTGGGACCTAACACACAATATCAACGTCAAGGGAGTCTGGTTCGGGTGCAAGCACGCTGTCCTGTCCCTGCGCAAGCACAAAAAGACCAAGGGCAGTATCATCAACACCGCCTCTGTCGTGGCCCTCGTTGGCTCTGCCACCCCCCAGCTGGCTTACACAGCCTCCAAGGGCGCTGTCCTAGCCATGACGCGCGAGTTGGCTATGGTGCATGCCCGCGAAGGGTTCAGGTTTAACAGTTTGTGTCCGGCTCCCCTCAACACGCCGTTGTTGCAGGACTGGCTGGGTGATGATAAGGCGAAGAGACTACGGAGGGAAATTCATTTCCCGACTGGGAGGTTTGGAGAGGCGGTGGAGCAGGCGCAGGCGGTGGTCTTTCTGGCAAGTGATGAAGCTAGTTTTGTTAACGGACATGATATGGTGGTTGATGGCGGCATGACGAAGGCGTATGTTACACCCGAGGGACCGGCGACGACGGCGCCGGTTAATAATGCGCTGAAGGAGAGTTTGGAGGAGTAAGAAGAAAGGGTTCCTAGCCCTCATAGACTCTGATTACCAAATGTCTTCTGTACATATGCACAGTGAGCAACAGTATGCGTCCCCCGACATGTAAACGTACGAAGCGACGCGATGTGAGGTTTATACATATGAGAAGAGGCGCAGCGAGCTGTAGAAAGAATGCAAAGTACAACTATTCTCATGCATTGCGTCTATCAGGAGAGGATGAATGTACCGAAAACCTTTCGTATAACTACTAACCATCGGGTCTATCAACCGCGTATAGACAGCTAAACCACGTGTAGTTCGAAGAAGACTATGTTGTCATAACCAAAAAAAAAGATAGCAGAAGAACATTAGAACAAGACGCCCCATGAAATGCCATGCAAAGACTTCGCCTAGAGCCAACCAACCGAACCCGAAATAGCCGCCCGCCAAGCAAGTCCCCCATTGACCTCATCACCTACTGCCTAGTAGGTTTGTATGCCCTCACTCAGTCATGTGCGTACTGTATCCCGACCGACCGAGCAACTGATAAGCCCTTATACGAACTGATTCTCCGTGTTACCCTCGCCCATGCTCTTGCTACTCGAGCTACCGCTCTGAATGTGTCCCAGAATGGCATCAACATAGTTAGCGCCGCTCCACTTCTGGTGCGTGAGCACATCAACACCGAGCTCCTTCTCGCGCTTCTGCACCAGCTCAACATACGCCTGCATGCCCTCGTCCTTGTAGCGGCGGGCCAGCTCGTTGCTGATGGTGGCGGTGCTGTGCAGACCCGCGAGCGAGACGAGCTGAAGGGTGAAACCTTCCTTCGCAATGTCCCAGATGAACGACTTGAGCGTGTCCTGGGTGAAGCCATGGGCCATCCAGTTGAACGAAGGGGAAAGGTTGTACACGAGACCCTTGCCAGGGAACTGTTCGCGCACGGCGCGGCCGAGCTCCGTGGCCACCTCGACGGACGGGTCGCCCGTCTCGACCCAGAGGAGGTCGGCGTAGGGACCGAAGGCGAGGGCGCGCTTGGTGGCGGCCGCCATGCCGTTGCGGAAGTGGTAGAAGCCCTCGCGCGTGCGCGGCACGTCCCAGTCCCAGTACACGGGGTGTTCGGGGGTGATGGATTGGGCGAGGGCGCGGCGGGCCGTGATGCCCATGTTGGGGTTCTGGGCAATGGTGGCCTTGTAGGTGCCGAAGAGGTCCTGGCGGACGTTGTGGTGCTCAAAGTGGGCAAGAGCAGCCTCGTCGAAGGTGACGAGCTTCGTGTTCTTGACCCACTCGGCCTCGTAGGCGTCGATCTCGGAACCGGGAGCACCGCGGGCTTCCATGTCGGCGAGGGTCTCGGCGAGGGAGGTGATGGAGGGGTCGGCGACACCGAGGATGAACTCGTGATCGCGGGCGTCGATGGAGGAAGAGAGCAGCTTACCACTCTCGGAGTCCGTGCGAGCGATCACAAGGTTCTCGGTGCCCATGACGTCCCACTGGAAGCGGGCGGCCTTGAGGCGGTTGATGTGCTCGCCGGTGGGGACGAGAACCTTGCCGGCAAGGTGACCGCACTTCTTACCACCGTGCATCTGATCCTCAAAATGAACGCCGGCGGCACCATTCTCGGCGAACAGCTTGGCAAGCTTCATGACGGCGGTCAAACCGCCGTGGCCGGTATCGCCGTCGGCAATGATGGGGCGGAAGTAGTCGGTATAAGGGGTCTTGGCCCGCTCCTCGGGAGTCATCTTGCTGCGCAGGAACCATTGCTTGCGGTCATGCATGCTCTGGGCCTTGTGAAGACGCTGGACCTGGTTGGGAACGGTGTTGTAGGGGTAGTCGCCAAAGTCGGGCGATACCTCGTTGGTGGAAGTCAGAACCGAGGAGCATGCCCAACCGGAAATGTAGAGGACCTCCTGATGAGGCGCCTGCTGGGTCATCTGAACGGGATCGATGGCACCCAGGGTATGGATGGGCTTGCCCTGGGCGTAGCGCTCCTGCACCAAGTTCCAGAGCTTGCGCGCCATGATGGACGAAGTATAAGTCTGCTGGAGCGAACCGCGCTTGCTCACGACATCGGCAGCAGTCCAGTCGCGCTTGATGCCCTTGAAGCGCGGCGACGCCCACCAAGCCTCAACTTCCTTGATCTGTTGTTGGAGGAGGGCATCTTCGGCGGCGCCGGCTTTCTGCTCCTCGGGCAAAAGCTGGAAGGACTCAAAAGGAATGGTCGAGGAAAAAGGATGCTCAACAGGAGCCAGAGGCGAGGGAGCGGTCATCCTAGCAGCTGATGTCGAGAGGAGCCGAGCGTGCGCGGAGGTGGTAGTGCTGGTTCTCACAGGGCGGGCGCAAAGACCGAAGAGGGGGGATGAAGTCTGCGCCGGGACAGTTCGCCGGGAGATTCTGGGGATTGCCCTGCGAAGCATTGTAGCTTTCAGAGCGTGTGAAATTGGTAACTGACTCGTGTACTTTCAGTTGCTTTGCAGCGGGCTTAAAACACAAGCTGGCCTTCTCTTCTTAAGAAGCGCAGCTGTGTTGTCCGGGAAAGGAGCGGGGCAGCGTGGTGTAGCAGCTAGCGGTAAGTACCTGAATGAATGTAGGACGAAAGGTTTGAGTGGGATTGTTTGGAAACAAAAAGATCTCAAGACTGTTGACTCTGTGAAGAGTTGTTCAAGTTGGGAACGACAGACTGCAAGGCAATTATTAAGCTAACTTGCCCCTGTCCTACGTTGGCAGGAGGAGACAAGAGGAGACAAGTCTGACAACTTGTCGTGTTTTGGTTGCGATACAGTATCGCCCCCCTGCCACACCCGGCTGACCACCGCCTTCCCCGACGCTGCCCCGATGGTGCCGACTCCATATCTCCATACATCTTGTGACGTGACAACCTGGGCTATAACCTGGGCCTGGCCGCCAAAGTTGACCAATGTTATACCCAACACGGGCAGTGCACGCCGACGAGTCCCCATCTCCCCGCCATGAGACTTGGAGGAGGTCCATAAAAAGGAGAGTGAGGTCCATTCAGTGAGGACTGGGAGGTCCATCTCGGCATTGCTATCGGCCTCACCACCTTCCTGCGACGTCCGTTCCTCCGGACATCAAACGCCGGCTGACAATACAACCTGAGTGGCGACAGCCGAGGAAGATTACCTTGCCTGTCATTGGCCAATGGCTCCTGTCATGCTTCCCCGCATCTCCCCAGATCGGCCGTTCAGGGGGTAATGCGATTTTCCATGAGGAGAGGGAGGGGCATGGCCTGGAGGAAAGGAGGACAGCCTTGGCCAGGGCAGACTAACAGGCCGCTGCGGGAGATACAAGCAGATTTTGTTAGCGAAACCATCCTTCAGGTCCTTCGAGGAAGCTGGCCGTGGCCGCCGTGGGTGCTGCCGAAACGGCTTTCCTCGGTTGTGAGACTGCAAACTGGACGGATTGGCGTGGGGGTTGGACCAAACGAGACACGGCGATGCAACGTCGTCACAAGCCGAATGACCGTGGGAAGCCGCTAAGGGCTCTGGTTGGGAGGAGAAAAAAAAAGACAAAAAGGCAACGCGATTCCTGGAGATTGCTCGGGGTGCTTGTGTCTTGCGAATCCCATCTCTTGATTATAAGACGACGGCGACGGCGACAACACTCACTTAAACGAGTCAGTCAGTGTCCACAGTTTCCAGCTTGCTTCCACTTCCCCAGACTGTCAAACAGAAAGCCTCAGGTACGGGATGGAGTCCTTGCCCTAGTTTGCCCGCGCTGTCTCCCAGATGCCCCCATTCTAAGGGAACTCCGCTCTTGCCGTCATGTTGACAGCTGTCTTCCAGCACGCTTGTCCCCATTTCCCCAGGCGTTCAGCGGCCCCAGTGTCCCCGCCCGCTTCTGGGGTAGCTCCAGCTGGGACCCCACCACATTCCTCGGCCTGAGCAGCGGTGGAAGACGGGAAGCGGCGTGTCGTCGCATGTGTTGTCGAGGTTGTACTGACCGGTGTGCGACCATAAGTATTTATAGGGTCGATCGAGCAATTGGCACCTCTTCTTGTTTGGTTATTCTTCTTCAGCAGCGTCGATACCCTCCGATTTTTGCTTGGTAGATATACGGTACACACACAAAGCTCAAAATGGCCATGAACCTTAGAACTGGGTCCCGGGCCTTCGGTGGAGCCCTCCGTGTAAGTGCTATGCGGACGCGAGTCAGGTCATCGCATCGATCTTTCTCTGTCTCTCCCTTGCCTTCCCCAGCTATTCCCCATCTCCTGTCTTGGGATGAATTCCACTTTTGGCGTTTGGCAGCACAGGACAGCCTTGCTAACATGTGTATCCCCCCTTCTGCAGAATCAGGCCCGTGTCTCGCGACGAGGCTACGCTACCGCCGAACCCGATCTCAAGACAGTGCTCAAGGAGGCCATTCCCGAAAAGCGCGAGCTCTTCAAGAAGGTCAAGGCCCATGGGAACAAGGTGCTGGGCGAGGTCAAGGTCGAGAACACAATCGGTGGCATGCGCGGCCTCAAGGCCATGATTTGGGAGGGCTCCGTACTCGACGCCAACGAGGGTATTCGCTTCCATGGCCGCACCATCAAGGACTGCCAGAAGGAGCTTCCCAAGGGCAAGAATGGCACCGAGATGCTGCCCGAGGCCATGTTCTGGCTTCTCTTGACCGGCAAAGTCCCCTCCACCAACCAGGTCCGCCAGTTCTCGCGGGAGCTCGCCGAGCAGGCTGCCCTGCCCGAATTTGTCAACACGCTCCTCGATAGCTTCCCCAAGGACCTGCACCCCATGACCCAGTTCGCCATTGCCGTCTCGGCCCTCAACCATACTTCCAAATTTGCCAAGGCCTACGAGCAGGGCCTGAACAAGGCTGACTACTGGGAGCCTACCTTTGATGACTGCATTTCCCTGCTCGCCAAGCTCCCTACCATTGCTGCCAAGATCTACCAGAACTCGTACAAGGGCGGTGGTGCTCTCCCCGCAGAGGTCGATCTCGAGCAGGATTGGGCTTACAACTTTGCTGCCATGCTGGGCAAGCCCGGCAAAGAGAACGAGAACTTCCAGGATCTTCTGAGGTTGTACCTTGCCCTTCACGGTGACCACGAGGGCGGCAACGTCTCTGCACACACCACCCACCTAGTCGGTAGTGCTCTGAGCGACCCCTTCCTCGCCTACAGCGCCGGTCTTCAGGGTCTCGCCGGCCCTCTCCACGGTCTTGCCGCCCAGGAGGTGCTCCGCTGGATCCTTCAGATGAAGGAGGCCATCCCCTCTTCCTACACGGACGAAGACGTGCGCAGCTACCTCTGGAACACGCTCAACTCGGGCCGCGTCGTGCCCGGCTACGGCCACGCTGTGCTCCGCAAGCCCGATCCCCGTTTCGAGGCCCTTATGGACTACGCGGCCTCCCGCCCCAAGATTGCGGCCGACCCCGTCTTCCAGCTCGTGCTCAAAAACAGCCAGATTGCTCCCGAGGTTCTCAAGCAGCACGGCAAGACCAAGAACCCCTACCCCAACGTGGACTCGTCCTCAGGCGTCCTGTTCCACCACTACGGCTTCCACGAAACCCTCTACTACACCGCCACCTTCGGCGTCTCGCGTGGTCTGGGCCCGCTCGCACAGCTCATCTGGGATAGGGCTCTGGGTCTGCCGATTGAGCGACCCAAGTCCATCAACCTCGAGGGTATCCTCAAGCAGGTTGAGGGACAGTAAATGCGGGTTAAGATTGAACGAATGATGTGAAGGAACGACCTGGAGTTGGTTGTGTCGTTGTTAGCGATTACACAGTGTCGCGATGATATTCTTCTGGATCACAGGACAGAAGCGAGCGAGCGAGAACGCCGAATTCACTTGCCTTGCATGTATGTATTATGACTAGGACGTCGCCTGTTGGTCTCATTTTCTCTTGGGAGAATGGGTCGAGTTGCCGAGGCCGTCCATTTTGTATTGTTCATTTTGTTGGTTTAAATATTTGCAAACACTTTCTAATTCCTTCTCCCTTCCATGATCTCACGATTACATTTATAGTAGTGTTCTGGCCTTGAACTCGACTGCTTCCCTTTGGTAGAAGCGTCTGTCCGACTTGCGCTTCGGAAGATGACATCCGTCTACAGTCACATCTCAAGTCTGACTGACTGACCGATCTGACCGAATTAATCAAAAGGCTTGGTTAGAACGCGAAAGGAATAATAAAAGTTGTGGTTATTTTTGGGATCAATATCCAGCTGTAAGGCATACGCACGCCAATTGGTCTCCCGTGTCCTGGAATTGGGTTAGCGATGACGTTAAAGTGGTATATAATGCATTCGCTATCTTAGCTCCGTGTAGTGTATTTTGTCCAGACTCAGAACAAATCCAAGTTACCCTGGGTTAACTACCATAGTGTATGGTTTGCGCTTGCATGGTGCACCTGAAGTGCTATCTGAAGTAATGGCTCTGTTTGATTGCATACCTTCCCCACTGTGAGTGTTGAGCGTAATAGTCATGTCAGTACCTCTACAGTTCACCCCTGGAAAGTTCGTTAGCTCGGTACTTACAGGGGTTTTTGACAGGGGAATGACAAGGGGGGTTACAGGGAATAAAACCAATAGAAATGCACATATAGAGCCCAGAGATCTTGAACAAGGAGAAAAGAGTTACGGAGAATCATTATATTTACTATACTAAAACCAAGGTAATCCGAATACTATTTCGTAGCCGATACATCCCTTAATATTAAGTATACCCTCCTTTCGCCTCGATAACTGCCTAAATTCTTCTAAATATCGAATATACTAGCCGTAGAAGGTAGTCTTACAGAACGGCTTCCTAAGCCTATAATATAATAAATTTAAGGCTATTTCCAATCGGCCGTATTAAATATTTATACTCAATCTACTTCTTTATCCAATTCCAAACGTATTTAATAGGGTTAAAATCAAGTAAATACAATAGCTATAGGACAATAATTGTACTAATAAAAATTTAAGCTATAAATGCCCGTATTAACTTTAAACTATAAACGGGGGTATTATCTTACTAAATTACACGATTCGGATTCTACTACCAAAATTGCAATAAAAAAGGAAGGATATATTATTAATAAAATACACTTTTAATCCTCCCCTATTTCTTATTTTAAATAATAAAAATACTTTTTTAATTACCTGTAAAGTAAACCCAAAATATCCAACTATATACCTTCTATTTAACCTTAATAAAGTCTTCTACTTTCTTATCCTTAAAGAAGGTAATAAATTAATAATTTAAATTAATACTAATTACCTATATTTTATTACTCTAAATCCAAAACTCCTATTCGAATAAAATAAAGTTAACGAACTACAAAACGAACTTAAAACGAAGGCGGCGGGTTCTCTCATCGAAGGGGATATATATAGGTTACTCTATACAATAAATACTTTATTACTCTATAACTACCTAAATTAAATATAATCTATAGGAAGTAAATTTAAGAATATACTTTTACAATTCATACTAAGGTAGGAACCTTTTCGACTTTATTAGGGTATTTATATACTAAAAAAGAATTCCAATTATTTCTACTAAAATTCAAAGAGGTCTACCGCTTTAATAGTATTAAGGGATAGCTTTGTAAAAGTACGTATATTATACTTATTTATCCAAATATTAATATTTCAATACGAATAATCTCCTTACTAAAAAATATATACTTACTTTATAATAAAGTTAAAACACACAATAATATCCTTATATTCTATTTTAGTATATATATATAGTACTTTATATATAACGCGCTCTTCGTATATAGTAGGTACTAACTTCCTCCTACCGTTAGGAAATAATTATAATATAAAAAATAATTTAATAATATTAATCGATAATTATAACTAATTAATATTTATACCCAGTAACAAGGAGGATAGCGGTTCTCGCAATAGTAATAAGGGCGGTACGCAGCTGTAACAGGATAATTAACGAAGTACTTACAGTGTAGTAGGATTTTAAAAGCCGGATAAGGATAACTTTAAATAAGGTTATTAATTTAATAATAATAATTAATAATAAATAATGTATAATAGCAATCCAATTAACTAAAGAAGGGTAATAAACTATCACGGGCAAAGGGTAGATAGTAGATGTAATTATACGTAATTGCACAAAGGAGAAAGGAAGAGAAGTGCAGCCGAATACCTAAAAGGCTAGCCTTATAAAGGCAACCGGCGGCGGGTCTAATAGACCCGCGGCAAGCAGCGTTCTAACTAATCAATTACCGGCAATAGTCAGCTTGCTAGCAGTAATAATAGTATACGGTAGTCTTAGAAGCTGTTGTACGCTGGTACTAGGCATAAGGCACATAAACTAACCCTATAATACTTCCTTAGACTAAAAGAAATTATATAATTAATTAATATTATATAAAATAATAGAAATCCCTATTAAATAAGCGGTCCGTTCTTAAAAAATCCTTACTACCGCTAGTAATTATTATTATAACTTCCACTACAGAATTAAAACTTCCTATTCTACCTCCTTCTCTTTCTCCTTCCGCTTTTTCTCCACTACCGCCTAGGCCGGTAGGTATAGCGTTTCCAGGTATCCGTTATAGAAGGCCTATACAGCGTCGGAGGCTATAAATACATCGGCGTACAATTATTATAATAGTATATATAGAAATACCTAAATAATAAAATATTCCTAACGGCCCTTATTATTTTTTTAATATTTATTAATCTTTTCGAATTTATATTCTACCGAATCCTCCCTATTATCAGTCTTCTTTATAGTTTGGCCGTAGTTAGTACGAATATTTTATTCCTCTATATTTATTTATTTTAGAAGATTTTATTCGTCCTATAATTTAATTTTATTAATATAGAATATTAGGCTATACTTTATATTAATTAAAAATTTAAATATAATTCGATAACTATCTATTTTAATAATTTTGAACGGTCCTTCGAAGAGGGGTATAAATTTAGTATAGGGACGGCCGGTATTGAAATTCTTAGTATTAAGTAGGACCCTATCTCCCTTTTTATATTTCGGTATATTAGTCCGTTAGATATTCGTATTATCTTTATAGCGTTATTATATTTACCGGGCTTAATTCGTAATAAAGTTTAAAATTTATTTAAATCGGTTAACTAACTTATTAATTTTAAAATATTTAATTTATTATACTACTAATATCTTTAACGGGTATAATTTAGCCAGTTTAATACCTATACGAGG